TCCAATTTCCATTACTTAGTTTTCCCATTATTCTGCATTCTCAAAATAAATATTTTGGAAATTAAAAAAAAAAAAAGATGTGTTTTTTTTTTAAACATTTCTCAAAAATAACCCCATCATAAATATTAGTATTTTATCACTTATTTATTTTCATTAAGCAAAATATTTTAATCTGAATAAATAGTTAATCAAAAAGAATATTTATTAAACATATCAAACCATAACATAAAAGGAGTTTTATTAGTAACTTTAAAATTAGAAGTATATCAGAAATGTAAGGTCTTCTCCTTGGCTCTATATTGACAATATTCAGCTTGTCTAAGGATAATGCTGGGAAATAATGATGGATTACTGAAGGGCAAAATAAAACAGTGTCTTTCTGGGGGAAAAAAGAAAACAAAACTGGCCAGTAACATACACGTAAAATGATCTGTGAAGGAAAGCGGCAGAGAGACCCTGGCTAATAATGGGTTAATTAAGCCTTTGTGTTCAAGTCCAAGTTAGCCTGTGATCTAATGTTAAAAGGAGGCTAGAGAGGATGAACACCCCAAGATCATATTTGGTTTCTTTGAGTAGAACAGCAAAAAGCCTAAAATTAACCTTAGGCGTTTGCATTTTTATTACTACAAACTTACCCTTCTTTGTTCATACTGTCACGTCCTTAACCTCAACATTCTAGATATGCTGAAAGTAAAACTCAAATTATTATTAAGAATGCTTATGCATGTATGTATTTAAGCTGTGCCTATAACTTTCCTTTTCCACACTTAGAGTATATAAAAATAAATTGGGTAAAACTTGGTAAAAATCTACGGCCAGTTGTTTTGACTTGTTTCATTCCTTGGCTGAAGTTATTTTTGATGTGAGGACTAGCCTCTTAAAAGTAGAGCCTTCACAATGAAAATATAAAAGTATTACTGGTAATATGGAATCCAGACTGTAAATGTAGTCTCCTGAAAGGAAGAATTAAAACACATAAAACGCAAAGTTAATAATTAAAGTTTTAACATCTGTGGGCTGCTTTGGGTCTTGCTGTTCACTTTAGAAACGAAGCAGGAAAGCTGGAAAACAGGAAAGGCTTCCTCAGTGGGCTCCAACGTAACTATTTTCTTGCAGCGATTATCCTGAGTGGCACAGGTGTAATGGAGATGATTACCTGCTTATAAAGCTCATGTAGTTTTAAAAATTACCTGGTCCCCAGCTATTGTTCCTGGGAATTTCATGTTTAAAAACTTGACTTTTTAAGTCATGGTGCTAGCTTGCTTATTTTCACTATCAATTGATCAGGAGTTGTGCAAAATCATGCAGGTGAATTTATATATGGAATATATTCTGACCTAAGTAATTCTTCACAAGGCTAGTGATGAGTTGAGTTTTGTTCTGTGCCTGATGATAGAACTGCCACGTTTCTCTGTTCTGTGCATGTTTGAGAGCTGTGCTGGGAGTGCCATCAGCTGCCTCTCCCAACTCTGCCAGTGTGCGTCTTGGTCTAACACGGCACACAAAACTAAGTAGGTGGAACGGGAAATGGGGGACATCTCAGATTATTTGAATGGAGACCTTACAGAGTCCTCAGCCCAGAACAGTTTCTGCTTTTGGCCGTCGCGCCACCTGCTTGCAAAGTGCCTTTGGGTGAGTGGAGATTTTAGAATGAAAACTGTCCCGTCGCCCCTTACCACCACAAAAAGTAGATGAGCTCTGGGAAGGTGCATAAAAGCCACCCATAAAGTAACTTGTAATCAAGATGCAACCTTTACTTTTTTCTCATCCTCAACACACTAGTAGTGTCTATGTTCCACTTGGTAATCACTTAATACACTTGCAGATTTCACCAAGCTTGTTTTTTTGGAGATTTTGCCTTAGTGTCAGGACCCAGTCTTTGATTTTAGAGAGGAAGGATAGAAAGCTTAGGTTATTCCTCGTTCAGTTTACCTAACACAGCCATAGTAAAAGAATTTCTCTCCCTTCCTGCCTCCCTCTCCCATTTTAAGAACAGTGATTATTATTTTTATTATTATTTAAGCAAAGGATAAATGTTTAATAAGAAAAATAAATAAAGAAGAAAATAAGAAAAAGAAAAAAGCAATAAATCACCTTAATAACTCCCTAGAAGATAATCATTGCTTTTTAACTTTGGAGAACATCATTCAGACATCTTTGGTATNCGCTTTTTAAAATAGTACTATAAAAATATTACTCATATTGCAACTTTTGAAGCCTTTCAGAATAAAAAAAAATGCCTCCAGGTTGTGACCTCATTTATTGCCAAATAATTAGAAGAAGGCTGTGTAAATTTCAGTAATAAGTAATATAACAACCAAAACCTGGGTGGAAATCTCAGAAAGTAATTACTAAGATTTAAGACACAATATGTACTAGTCACTTATTTTCTTTTAATAGGAAAAACGTGGTCTTCGAGAAATGCGAGTTCTTGAAAATTTGAGGAATATGATCCGTGAAACAAATGAACATACTCTTCCCAAATGTAGAGAAACAATGCAAGACAGCTTAAACGACGTTCTCCAGAGATGTAAGCCAGCGATTTTTTTATATTGCTTTATTTCAAATGAGTGCTATGCCAAAATGTGTTTCCTTGGGTATTTTGGTGGGAGGTAGAGAGAGAGAATTCTTAATCAGAACATAGACTAAAGAAGCCCTGTCACAGAGCAAGTGGTTATCTAGTGATTAATGTGTATTGTTGTTGATGTAAGAACATTAATCTCCAAAGTGAGATGTGTGCATCTGGAGGCACAAGATTATCCTTTTAGTACGTGAGAAAATTGAAACATTTTTTAGCTTAAATAAAAAAATGTATAAGAAAAAGTTTGATAACCAGGAATTAGGTATGAAATAAAACTTTTTCAAAAAGCAACTAGGGATCCCCATTCTCTCGCAGTCCTCTTTCCACAGCCCATTTTGCTCCTGACTCTCCGAGAGCACGGCATGTACTGACGTGAAGTGACCCAGTGCAACCCAGAACACCGCAGCCATTTCAGAGCTCGGGACTCACAAATGGCAGAGCAACTTTCTCCAGGAAAGGTGACAGACCAGATGTGCACCTTCCTGTTCAAAAAGCCTGGGCAAAGGGGGGCTGCAGGCCGCAGGAAGCGCCCCGTCTGCAGTCAAGAGCCCGGAGACAGCAGCAGCAACAGTGCCGAAAGCAGCACTGTAGTTCGCCCTGAAAAGAAGCGAGTGACCCCCAATCTGATGATACAGAAGACCAGCAGCGGTGGTAAACAGAAGGTGGCTGACGGTGACTTAAGTAGGGAGGAGGAGAACGAGCCCGTGAGTCTCAGTGTGGTCTACAAGTCCACCCACTTGGTGAAACCCGTGGGGCCAGAGGATATGGGAGCGACTGCTGTCTACGAGATGGACACAGAGAAGGAACGTGACTTACAAGCCATCTTTGAGCGCAGCCAGAAGATCCAGGAGGAGCTGAGGGTCAAGGATGATGACAAGATCTATCGAGGAATCAGTAACTGCCAGAAATACATGAAGCCCAAGGATACATCTGTGGGCAGTGCCTACTCCGGAATGGTGCGGAAGGGCCCCATCCGAGCTCCCAAGCATCTGCGTGCCACCGTGTGCTGGGATTACCAGCCTGACATTTGTAAAGACTACAAGGAGACTGGTTTTTGCGGCTTCGGAGACAGCTGCAAATTCCTCCACGATCGTTCAGATTACAAG